CATTGGTACCACATTCTTCCCAATTTATGAATATAATTCTAATCACTGTGTTGCCTACTATTATAGTTATCTATTGCTGTACCTTAAACTACACAAAACTTAGTGCTTTAAAACATTAAATTATTTGCTCACAATGCTGCAATTAGGCAAGCTGAGGTTGGTGGTGGCTTGTCTCTGATCCACACAGTATCTGCCAGAATACCCAATGTGGCTTGTCACTCTTACGGACCTTCAGCTGGGATGACTATAGCAAGCTGGGGCTAGCTATTTTGTGCTTCTAGATTGCATGTCGAAAGGGTAGGGGTAAAGGAAGAACAAACTCCATTTCTTGATGGGAAAGTTGCAAGAACGCATAAAAAAAAAGGCATATAAGATGAAAGATATTGTTGCAGTCATCTTTGAGAATGAAACACACCACAGTCCACTTAATTCACATTCCTTCTACGTCCAAAATACACTCAATGTCTCCCCCGAGGCAAAATGTCATTCTATTATAGCACTGACTATAAGGCTGGGTCTAATTATTTAAATCAGGTGCAACTGCAAATGGTACTCCTTGGGTTTAGTTCCTCACATGTAGCTTCTCAGATGTACCTCCTCTGAAACCAAAATCCCATCACCTCAAAAGATAGCTTCTCTGCCCCACTGTAGTAAGCCAGGGGTAGGACTACAATGGACACTGGGGTTCAAAAGATGAAGGGGATGAGGAGTTACACAGAAGGCACAATAAATAGTCCCACAGCTATTGTGAAATCTGCTTGGCACATGTCATCAGCAGTTTGATTAGAACAGTTATGGGGGTGCCTGGGCGGCTCAACCAGTTGAGCATCTGACTCTTAATTTCAGCTCAGGTCATGATCCCAGGGTCATTGGATCGAGCCCTCCATCATGCACTGAGAGTGGGGCCTGGTTGGGATTCTCTTTCTCAATCTGCCCCCTCCTCCACTTGTGCGCTCTCTCTGAAAAATTAATTAATTAAATAAAACAAACAAACAAAAAAAGCACAGTTATGTTCTTTGAAAATAGTCCTTTGGGGCTCTTGACTCTGCCTTCTTTCTGGGTGGGCTCCTGGACCCATCCCCTGAGTCAGTCTTCCCATTTCATAAGAAATGGTCCATGTTTGCAATAGTGTAGTTTTCTCAGCCTGCTTCATGCCCACATAAGATTGGGATTCTCCCCACACACAAAGGCTCTTTTTAGTTGAACTATCCTTTTCCATCTACGCTGGTGGTGTTTCTATCAGCATCATTCTTGTAAAAACATTGTGAGTTTCTTATGAATTTTATTAGAATTAACTCAATTTAACAGATGCCACATCCACAGATTTCTTTGAGATAGCCAGTTCACTCCTCTGGGCTATGTCATGGTGCTGTAGGACAGTGGACTTAAAAGCCTTAGAAGCTCTTCTGGCTAGCTGAGATATTCTGAAAGGTACACCTTTTAGACTCTTTAAAGCCCTTTTGAAAGGCTCCAACAGACATTGCCTTTCTGAACTCTCAACACAGAATCTTACAGAAGCCTGATCTTGATTGGATCCTTATTCTGAGGCCATTTTTTACTAATGGCACCCTGGGATTTGAGAAGTGTTTAGATAAGTAAAGGGAAGGGAGAAGGCATTCATTCCATTCCATAGTGGAGGATACCAGGATAAATAAAAGCACAGTCTTGCGGGAGAATAGCAAAGAAAGTCATCCTGCTGGGTTCATGATGAGGGGAAACACAAAATGAAATTGTAAAGGTAGAATAAAATCAGACAAATTAAGAGTCCTGATTACCAGATTATGGAATCTGGAATTTAAGCTCTCGACGGTTTGTCCAAATGTTACTACATCAGAGACACCTGGAGAGTTTTATAAATACAGAGCCTCACCCTAGAGGAAAAAACAGCTCCCAGAGCTTCTGAAAGGCCGGAGTAGAAATCTGTATCTAAGCAAAGCTCCCAGGTGATTGATTCTCAGACACAGCCAGACTCAGAAGCCACTGCTCTAGGCAATAGTCAACTGGTGACTTTTTGAGAATGGAAGGGACATAAATGCAGTTATCTAGTGAAATTTTTGGTTATAAATCTGAATAATAAAAATAAATTACCCTTACCAAGTGCTCAGTTTCCTCACTTGTGAAACAGGGAAAATGATTTATACACCATAAGGTTCTTGCAAGCATTCTAGGAGCTAATGCATGTAAAAAATCACTTAGAGACATGAAGAGCATTAAAAGTTAGTCATTATTACTATAAGTTTCTAGAACTCTTAAGTCTTTCCATTCACAAGCTGATAATACTAAGCAAGAGTATTTGAGATATTGTAGACAAATCAAAGAGGCTTACAGAATATTTGTTAATCTCCTCCAGCAGTTTATCTTCCTCATAATCAAGAGTTAATGAATCTACCTTATTTCAAAACAAATCTGACACCTGGAAACTCTGACATGGAATTTCAGTAGGTAAACCCAAGATATTTTGCATTACACAAAGCCAATAGGTTGACTTTAATAAAAAGTATATTCAGCATGTAATTCACTCCATAAATATTAACCAGGTGCAAATCAAGATATAACTGACACTAGAGCTGCTTTAAATGCAAAAATTAGAGGTTTACATGGGTCACTAAAATAATTTCTAAATGAGATTAAGATGCTTAAATACAGCAACAGCTGAAATATCAGCTTACAACTCAAACAGAATAATTTATTTAAAATAATCATAATTATTATTTATTAAACATTTCCCACTGAAATAAAGTTCAAAATGATCATGTAACTTACTATTTACCAATTAATATTCATTTAAAAAGAAGTCACTAAAGCCTACTTTCAAAGAATAATTCATAGTCACAATACCAAAACCTGAATAATTAGAGACATTGTGATAGTTAAGACTCCAAATTAAAATTTTAAAATATTTGATAACCTAAGTATACATTAGCTTTAAAACACCAAACTTAAGTGCTTAGTTTTAAAAGCAGAAATCTTTCCACCATTGCTACCGTAGTACCGCAAGAGAGTTCAAAGCATCTGATTAAATAAACTGTGCTAAGAAGCAGAATTCAAGATATGAAATTTATCAAATATGAATTAGGAAGTGAGATCCATAATCCTTAGGAGTCCCCAAGACTCTTTTAGAGAGTCTGCAAGGTTAAAACTAGTTCCATAATAGATTTTCATTGTGTTGACATTTGCACTGACAGCACAAAAGCAATGTTCAAAGTGCTAACACCTTAGCACAAATCAATGCAAAGAGACTAACTGTTGTAGGGTCACTGATTTCTTCACTGCCATGCACTTACAGTAAAAGGCCAGTTTCACTTACAGATGTTGTTGATGAAGCATTAAAAATTATTCATCTTAAACCCTGATGGTTTTAACATTTCTGTGTGACAAGATGAGAAGTATGCATAAAGTACATCTTTGTATTGTATTTTAAAATGTGTCAACACTTAGTAGATCTATGTAATTCACTAACTATTTCCCAAATGACTAATGCTTGATGTTAAAAAAAAAATCATTCATGAGTGGGGCGCCTGGGTGGCGCAGTCGTTAAGCGTCCGACTTCAGCCAGGTCACGATCTCGCGGTCCGGGAGTTCGAGCCCCGCGTCAGGCTCTGGGCTGATGGCTCAGAGCCTGGAGCCTGTTTCCGATTCTGTGTCTCCCTCTCTCTCTGCCCCTCCCCCGTTCATGCTCAATCTCTGTCCCAAAAATAAATAAATGTTTGAAAAAAAAAAATTAAAAAAAAAAATCATGCATGAGTAAAGAACCATTCAAAGTTCAAGAGAGATGAATGGACTTTAACTTAAGAGAGTACGAAAAGATTATTGATGCGGTTTCAGATTCTACTTTGCAACCAATATTTAAGAAACTACCACTTGTGGGGTGCCTGGATGGCACACTCTGTTAAGTGTCTACTCTTGATATAGGCTCAGGTCATGATCTCATGGTTCATGGGATCGAGCCCTGTGCCAGACTCTGCACAGACAGCACAGAGCCTGCGTGGGATTCTCTCTGTCCCCTTCTCTCTCTGCCACTCCCTCCCGCCCTCCCTCCCTCCCTCCCTCTCTCTCTCTCAAAATAAATAAATAAACTTAAAAAAAAAACTACCACTTGTCAAATTTTGGTGTGTATCAAAGACTATTTGCATTTATGTATTAAGCTATTAATGTAATCCTCCCTTTTCTGACTATGTATGTGTGTGAGGCCAGATTTTGTTCATATTCTTCAATCGAATCATTACATCATGATTGCAGAAGCAGATATGAAAATCTGGGTGTCTGTCTGTAAACTAGATATTAAAGAGATTTGCAAAAATTGTAAATAGTAGTTCTCAACCAATGACAATTTTGTCCCTCAAGGGACATTTGGCAAAGTGTCAGCTATTTCTGGTTGTATACAACTGGAGAAAATGCTATCGTCATCTAGTGGGTAGAGGCCAAAGATGCTGCTAAATACCCTACAATGCATAGGACACCCCCCGCAAGAATTATCCAGCCCATAATGTTAATAGTGGCAAGTCTGAAAGACCATGAAGGAAAAGAATACCACTCTTCTCAATACTTTTTTTTGAGGGAAAGGAAGGAGGAACATAGTTATTTTTAATAAAAACGTTATTCATATTAACCTGTAAAAGGCTTATTATTATAAATTTAAATGATTAAGTATAAACATTTTTAAAATTTCTTCCTTCTATTTTACGATAAATACCGATAGGTTAATCCACATAAAAGTTCTTTGAGGTCTTCAATAATTTTTAACAGTGTAAAGGAGTCTTGAGACCACAAAGTTTGAGAATCACTCAATTAGAACAGTATAACTAACCAAGTACACTGGGGAATATAAGAGGAATTAAAAGGACTCTAAAGGAAAATAAACTCATTTCAAGAGTAAAATAGATGACCAAAGCAAACAAAAAACCCATAAAACCAAATAGCTACAAAGAAAAAATTATGATAGACCTAAAATGTCATTCTCCCCTTATAACCACAACTAAATTAAAAGCACAATTTCTTACCCTGACTATGAGGACTTGCTGGACTAAAAGACGGCTGATACAAATCTTTGGTTGGTGTTGGATAAGCTTCTTTCCCTTGGCGCTGACTCATCTTTCCTGGTGTCAGATGTTGAGATTCGTCACTGTTTGCTACCACAGCTCAAGGAAAGAAGAATAAAAGAATTAGTACTGATGTTACACATTTACATAATTACACAGTTAATAATACGGTATAGAACTATGATTGAAATAGCCTCAATAGTTATATTTGTTTTCCAACTCTGTACTTTAATAAATCTGCATAACTTTTATTTTCTTTTAATTGTAGTTTGCCATCAATCCAAGAGGAACGTATGCTACGTATGGGTCCAATTACACAAAATTTAGACATTATAAAAATGAAAATACAGTCAACTAAAAATGAAGGGTACTCCAAAGTTTACTATGGCCTTTTCATTGTGCTATTAACTTTTTACATTTGCCAATAAACCAATAAGCAAGAGACAAAGTCATTGCATTAAAAAAAAAAAAATGGAGGCCCCTGGGTGGCTCAGTCAGTTGACAGTCTGACTTCAGCTCAGGTCGTGATTTCACAGTTCGGGAGTTTGAGCCCCACACTGGGCTCTGTGCTGACAGCTCAGAGCCTGGAGCCTGCTTCAGATTCTGTCTGCCTGTCTGTCTCTCTCTCTCTGCCCCCTGCCCCCCCCCCACTCACACTCTGTCCCTCTCAAAAATAAACAAACGTTAAAAAAATTTTTTTTAAAAAGAAATACAGTCACTAAACATATGAAATACTCAACCTTCATTAGTAATCAGAAAAAATACAAATTAGTAGCAATATAAAATATTCATATTCACTAGAATTTCTACTCTAATTCCTAATTTTCATGAAAAATAGGTATGATTCTTGTTTTAGAAATAGGAAAACTTGAGGTTCATTCAGAGACTGCTTTACAAGACTCAGTAATAGAGGTAAGATGTCTAACTCAGGAGCATTTGGTTCCAAAGTCTAATCTCTTAAAAGCTTGCTGCCTCAATAATCAATTTAAATAGTGTTTAAAGTCGTTATTCACCCATTTGCTAATGAAGAAGAGCAATGCCCACTTGCAGAGAGGGCAGAAAAGAGAAAAATACTCAAATGAAGGAACAGGGCAAATTGTGACGAAATCCACAGTGCCCTAGCCATCTCCATGTCCATTCATTTTGTTTCTGTGCTTTCTGCCTACAAAAGCTTAGCTTTATCTTGAGAAAGAATGATTCTGTCTTCACTACAGATTTAATTTGTAACTTAACCAGAAAATCATGTTCACATTTTTATCACTGTACCTTTTTTTTTTTTTTAATTTTTTTTCAACTCTTTTTATTTATTTTTTTGGGACAGAGAGAGACAGAGCATGAACGGGGGAGGGGCAGAGAGAGAGGGAGACACAGAACCGGAAACAGGCTCCAGGCTCTGAACCATCAGCCCAGAGCCTGACGTGGGGCTGGAACTCACGGACCGCGAGATCGTGACCTGGCTGAAGTCGGACGCTTAACCGACTGCGCCACCCAAGCGCCCCTATCACTGTACCTTTTAAATCAACTCTTTTAAATTAAATTGTTTTCTATTGTGCTCAAGTTTTCAAGATCTATATTTTAGCTTTGTACATTTCAATGTAAAAACTAAAAAACAAAAAACAAAACAAAACAAAAAAACCCCAAAACACAAAAACCTTCCACTTAACATCCAAGTAAAGATATAAAAAGTCTATGTTCCCATCAAGTCCATAAAAAAAAAAGAATCTATACACTGAGGACTCCTGAATTTATCTCTTCCTGAACTAAACTCACACGTCCAATTGCCTGACTTATACTAGCCTCTACTTTTTAACAGGCATCTCAAATTTATCCAGAGCATAATTCTTGATTCTGTTTATCCTCCAAACCTACCACTCACTATTGTCCTCCATCACTTTCTCAGGCCAAAAACTTCAGATATATTCTTTTATTTTTCTCTTCCTTAAACACTTCACACCTGATTTATTTGTGAGATCTTTATAGTTTACCCTCAGAATTTATCTTGAATCTTTTTACTTCTTCCCACTTCTACAACTATCACCCTATTCTAAGCCACCATTACCTGTCCACTGGATCACAGCAACAGATTTTTACCTAGTCTCCAGACTTACTGTCTTGCTCTTTGCTTGTTTAGAATTCATTCTCTACACAGAAACCCGAATAATCTTTGTAAATCATGAATCAGATCTGCGCCACACAGAAATATCCTCAATGCTTTCCATTATACTTGAATCCCATGGCATACGAACTGAAAAGTGTCTGGCCTCTGCTTACCTTTACAATCTCATTATCTACTACTCTCCTTAGTCACTTGGCTACTTGGCTCCAGCTAGAATGGCCTTCGTGGTATTCCTTAAAACATGCCATTTTGCTCCAGTGTCTGGGTCTTTCTATCTCTTGTTCTCTCAACCTGGAAAACTCCTACTGCAGAGGTTCACATTATTGACCCCTCTCTACGTGTTGTCTGTGCTCTAATGCCCTATCTTCAACAAAGCTCTTCATCATGCCTATGAAATTGATCAATTCTTTTATTTTTTTGGTTAGTGTGCACTCTGCCACGATTATACTCTATCACTTTATCATACATGATTTTCACTGTTGCTCTTATCACTATCTGAAATTATATCATTTGTTTATTGTCTGCCTTCTACAGGAGACCATTAAGTTCCATAAGAGAATGGAGTTTTATCTGCCTTATATTTCCATAAATCCTCAAGTCCTCGTATGGTTCTGACATAATGAAGGTGTTCAATAGGGTCTTGCTGAATGAACCAATCAACAAATTTTATACCTTTATCAAACTTTATTATCATAAAGTAAATGGCAGCTCCTTTGGTTACTAAATCCAAGATCCACTTAATTCCTAAAAATTACTATTAAAATTAAAGATGTATGGTATAGATGTAGGAAGAGACAAATTGACCTAAAGAACAAAACAGAGAGATCTCATAATCAAACCCATGCATACGCTGAGCCTAGATATACAACAGAAGTAGGGACTACCTCCATTAATGATACTAGGAAAATTAAGTATTGGAAAATCAGGTCCCTATCCTCATACCATGCACAAAGAACAGTCTTAGGAAATAAAGACATCACTGTAAAAAGCAAAACTTAAAACCTTTTAGAAGAAAATATAAAAAAAATATCTTTATAAACTTGGGATAAGGAATGATTCCTTTAAAAAGACACAACAAAGCACTAACCAAAAATAAAGAACTGATAAATTCTACTATATTAAAATTAAGATTTTAATCAAAAGGTACCATAAAAAGTTAGAAAGAAAAACAGGATATTTGCAACATATATAATTAACAAAGGGTTAGTATCCAGAATATGTTAAGAAAGATAACAAGCCTATAAATCAATTAGAAAAAGACCAACAACACAGTAGAGAAATGTAGGGATACATCAAAAAGAATAAAATACCTAGGAATACATTTAATCAAGAGGTGAAAGACATGTACAATGAAAACTATAAGACAGTGACAAAAGAAACTGAAAACACAAATAAATGGAAAGACAGTCCATTCTCATGGATTGGAATAATTAATATTGTTAAAATGTCCATACCACCTACAGCAACCTACAGATTCGATGCAGCCCCTATGAAAATTCCAATGGCATTTTTCACAGAATTAGAACAAAAAATTCTAAAATTTGTGTGAAACCACAAAAGACTCTGAATAACCAAAATAATCTTGAAAAAGAAGAACAAAGCTGAAGGCATCATGTTCCCTGGTTTCAAACTATAAAACAAAGCTACAACAATCAAAACAGTATGGTGAACACACGTAAATTAATAAAACTGAATAGAGGGCCCATAAGTACACCTATGCATATATGGTCATATTAATTTGGGACAAAAAAGTCAAGAATATACAAGAAAATGGCAGTCTCTTCAATAAATGGTGCTGGGAAAACTGGACATCCATATGCAAAAGAAAGAAACTGAACCACTGTCTTACATCATATATAAAAATTAACTCAAAATTAATCAAAGACTTGAATATAAGATCTAAAACCCTAAAACTCCAAAAAGAAAACACAGGCAGTAAGCATCAGACTTGGTGATGGTTTTCTGGACCTGACACCAAAAGCAGAGGCAACAAAAACAAAAAACAAAAATAAACAAGTAGGACTACATATCAAACTAAAAAGCTTCTGCACCACAAAGGAAACCATCAACAAAAGGAAAAGACAACCTCCTGAATGGGAGAAAATATTTACAAGTCATATATCTGATAAGGGGTTCATGTCCAAAATACACTAAGAGCTCATATAACTCAACAGCAAAAAAAAAAAAATAAGCAATCTGACTTAAAAATGGGCAGAAGATCTGAATAAACACTTTTCCAAAGACAGAATGGCCAACAGGTATATGGAAAGATGCTAAACATCACTAATCATCAGGGAAATGGAAATCAAAACCACAATGAGCTATTATCCCCTCACACCTGTTAGAATGGCTATTATCAAAAAGAAAGGAAATAACAAGCATTGGCAAGGATATGGAGAAACATGACTCCCTGTGCACAGTCAGTAGGAATGTAACTTGGTGTAGCCAATTCACCACTGCGGAAAACAGTACGGAGAGTCCTCAAAAAGTTAAAAGAAACAACCATAGGATCCAGCAATTCCAGTTCTGTGTATTTTCCTGAAGAAAATGAAAACACAAATCTGGAAAGATATATGCACCCCTATGTTCACCATAGAATTACTTACAGCAGCCAAGACATGGAAACAACCTAAGTGTCCACTGACAAATGAATGGAATACTCAGCCATAAAAAAAAGAATGAAATTTTTGCCATTTATGACATGGATGGACCTTGAGGGCATTATGGTGAGTGAAATAAGTCAGACAGAGAATGTCAAATACTGTATTATCCAAGTTGAAACACCAAGTTCATAGATACACAGACTGGTGGTTGCCAGAAGCAGGGCGGTAGTGAGTGGGAAAAATGGGTGAAGGGAATCAAAGGTTACAAACTTTCAATTATAGATAAATAAGTCATATTAATGCAATGTACAGAATGATGATTAATAATACTATACTGCATATTTGAAAGTTGCTAAGAGAATAAATCTTGAAAAGTCCTC